TTCCTCTACTTCTTTTGTATGTTTGTCACTCTCTTGTGACCTTCTTTTTCCGGGGTGCCTTGATAGTCGAATCAGACCTTGTGCTGTTGAAGCGAGAGGTGAGCAGTCTAAGTCTGATTCCCTGTAAAGACTTCTCTGTTGACACCCACCCCTTGGCGCCGTAAAACCCTCTACTATTAAAAAAACAAAACAAAAAAACCACACAATACAATCAAGAAGCTATCTAAGGCGGCCACCAATTGTCAAGGAGAAATGTGGGTAGTTGGCTTAGACAGGGGGACATCTTGGAGAGAGTTATTATAATTATAGGTGGGTAAGTGGGAAGTAGCCATTTGTACAAGTGAATGTCTTGTACAAATGGTTGTCAGAGTAGGTTCAACTGTTCTTGGTACACCTCTTTCACTGCCAGGGAAAATGTGCATTCTATTATATTCGGTGAAGCCCTAAAACATCCAGAGATCAGGGATGCAAATTATCTCCATACCCACAGTATCAAGCCTCACTATAACCACCACCACCACCACCCCCCTCTCCCCCACATCCCAGTTTCTTCATTGCAGTACAGCCTACACATACAATACTTGTCACCAACTCAAGACTATAGCCACCAAGGAAACAGAATACATTTACAATTTTTCCTTGGTAAATGTTTTACCTCCCTTACCAACACAATACTGACTATTAAGGAGGCCAGCTTCCCTGAACTTGCTAGTCAAGGCCAACTAGGGCCAAAAAAAATACAACTTCCCAGCAGAAGGAGGTACTTGATTATAGGTTAACCTCCCCACACAAGAATCGAGCTCACGAAAACTGCCTGCAATGGCAAAAAGCCTAACCATTACATCACAGAGACTGCTACAAACAAAATGTGGAAGCTGATTACCATTAGAAAAAAGGATAGCCCCCGCTCCCATCTTACCTGTTGTCTAGAACAGAGCAGCCTGAGCACATCAACTCCCAGAATGCAATAATACATTGCAAAAAGTAATCAGTTGCTGAGATCAAAGGCAGTCCTCTTATGGAAAGTAGACTCGCCAAACATTCTAGAGAGGCCTGCGAAAATGGAAAGCAACATCTGAATCTACAAGAAAATTATGACTGTAAATCAAGATTTAGAACGAGTAAAGACAGGTACATTGAAGCAAGATTGTTCTCCATCTTCGGTCAGATTAAGGGGAACAATTTTAGAAGACAAATAGGATATAAAAACAGAATGATTTTATTGTGTGTTATTATGCTAAATGTTTGTGTGTGAGTGTGTGTCTGATGTGTATGGAAGAGAAGGAGAAAAAACTATGAGAGTATGTGTATATATGTGAGAGAGACTGTATGTGTGTGTTTTTTGGCAAGTGTTTTACGGCGCTCGCAACTGCACAAGGTCATGTGAGTGCGCTGGACACACCAAACATTTTCAGTTGGCAGGAAGTTTTGAATTATGCCCGGGTGGCGGCTGAAGCCTACTCTTATCGATTTTAGACCACCAAAGGATCTTTAACGTGCACAACTTGCACACGGGACCTCCGAGAGTTTTTGCCCTTGTCGAGGGAAAGAATAAAAGTAGGACCTACCACTGATGCCATCCAGCAACCCAAATTCTTTTCTCATTCTCTGCTCATTTAACAATCAACATCTACACGAAGATACCCACTTGCTTAAAAAATTAGGCTTTTATAGAAAAAGAGGAACAGAAAAATACCGAAGTAACTTACCAAGCTTTTCCACTAGTGATGCGCAAATATTCCCCACCTCTTTAGGTTTCAAAGGCTTCAGGTCTTTCCAGGAAAAATCATTCTGAAACAAAAGCAACACATCACATAAAAAGAGAAAGGGGAAACAAAAACGGCAAAAGCACTTGCTGAAAACAATTCTAAGTAGAGACAAAGCCATTCTTTCTTTCTTTTCCCTATGTTAGAGGCAGCCTTCCTCTTACATTCCCCCAATCCCCCCCCACCCCCCAAAAAAAAGAAAAGGCTCAATCACAGTATAGAATTTTTTCAACAAATCATCAACCTTGCATTGTGTGTGTCACTGCAGATACATTTTTCATGGAATGGTCCTGAAACACACTATAAAGAAGCTCAAAACATACCTATAAGGAACTGAAAAATATTGTCAAGGAGCTTAAACTTCTTGTCAAAGAGCAAAAACATTTTCCCATGGAGCTAAACCATATTGTCGGGGAGCTAAAACATGCTGTCAAGAGCTTAAAACTTACAGCAAGCCATGGCAGGGTGAGAATCCAGGAGAGCTCTTGTAGCACCATCATCGGCATTGGATGAAATTCTGAGGGGAAAAAACGTTTTCATTCAAGAGTAAGTACTTCATTCATGGATGCTTCACACCAGCACTACTTCATTTAAGAGCAATAGTGCTTCATTCATGAGTGCGTCAGTACTTCTTGAATGCATCATTATCTAAATCACTATCATTCTTGAGTGCATCATTATCATTCATGAGTGCAACAGTGCTTCATTCATGAGTACTTCAGCACCCTCAAGAGCTGAAGTCAGTCAACAATCACACCAATGTGAGCAAAGCTATATATAAGATCACATTACTTTACTGTTAAAAAAACATTTACATTTTCATTGAAAGTATGGGTGCGCTGTTAGCTTAGGCGATATCATGGTGAACTGTATTGTGGATTGGTCTAAGTTCGAATCCATAAAGAGTTCTTGATCTTGGTTGCTTGGAGAGTTATCGAAGCTCTCAAAACACACCAGGCTTGGTCTTATCAGAAATAGAAGTATTCGGAGGTCCAGTCTCTTAAATAATCCTACAGTTTTGGAAGGGGTGTTAAACACAGACAGTCACCAACTCTATCTTAAATACAATAGTGAATTAATTTACTAAAATACATCAAAATCATATAAAGATGATTTTGGAATATGGAAACCACACACACACACGCATGATTTGAGCATTTTTCATTCAGTTCACAATTCGATACTCTTTACGTACCTTGCACCAACAAAATGTCCTCTATGGACCTCAAGATAACGCTGAACTTTTCAATAAAAGAACTGAGAGAATCTGAATTCGAGGCCACGCTCTTCAGATAGCGGATCCAACAATCAAGGGCAGAATTGATGATGAATTCTTTCAAGAAAGGATGATGTGTCTTGTCGCTGAGAGATTGGAAAAAAGCAGACCAGAGAAGCTGAATTTGAGTAAGGAAAAATTCATTGACATGACAAAGTTTATTCAGTACTGGGAAAAAGTAAAACCAAAAACAACACCGGAAATAAAAAGGAGTAGGACCTACCAGTGGCGAACTGCAATGACTGTAAAAAAAAGACATAATTCAATAGAAAACATGGCCCAGTAGCTCATTTAAATACTCAAACCCCACGCACATAGCAACAATAGCAAAGCAAATGTTTTAGTCAATGAAAGATGCCAAACACAGTGCACAGTAAAACTTAAACAGAAATATGGAAACCTTACTCCAGAAAGCCACACAGATATTCACACACTTTAATGCAGTATTGGAATCAATCACAGAAGCAGCCTCTACATGAGAGTCTTGAGCTGTCATTTCCACAGCTGCCAACTTTTTATAATTAAAAGACAGACTACGTGCGCACCAGGTCAAGATGGTTGGCAGCAATGTATTTCTGACATATCTACACCAAAAAATAGTTGTTAAAGTACAAAAACAGCACAATAGACAACCAATGACTAAAGAAAAAAGCCAACACATTTAAGGTAAAAATGCAAAAGATTATGAGAAAAAAAGGAGAGAAAAAAATTATATTCTTGACATAAAACAGAAGGGACATCAGTTAATTAATGGTCAGACTGCTGCAGCAGGTTCTCAAAATGTCAATGGAGAAGAGCCTTTTCAAGGAATTGAAGATTTTCAAAAAGAAAATTTTCTTACATCACACCTTAGACCTAACAAGGATTTTCCTACTTCAAACCTCAGAGCAAATTAAGATTTTCCCACCTTAGAACAAACACATATTTTCCCACCTTAGAACAAACACATATTTTCCCACCTTAGAACAAACACATATTTTCCCACCTTAGAACAAA